GTCGGGTTTACGACTTCATCTCTCTGAGCCTCAGTGTCTTCATTACTTACACTCCCATTGCTTTGTTATTGTCAGAGTCAAGTAAATATTGTGTGTGAAGTGACCAGCAGTCGCTGTCACATTGTCGTCGCTCAGTGAAGAGTATCTCTTTCTTTAAAAACATTTTGTTTATGTGAAAGTATAGTTGATTTACAATATTATATTCATTTCAGGTGTACAACACAGTGATTCAACATTTGTGTAGATTATACTACATTTAAAGTTATTATGAAGTGTTGGCTGTATTCCCTGTGCTGTACAATATATCCTTGTGTCTTATTTTTTTTATATGTTGTTTTAATGGATTGGAAGAATCAATATTGTTAAAATGGCCATCCTACCCAAAGCAATCTACAGATTCAATGCAATCCCTATCAAAATGCCCATGACATTTTTCACAGCACTAGGGCAAATCATTCTCAAATGTGTATGGAACCACAAAAGACCCAGGTACCCAATGCAGCCTTTAGGAACGGCAAAGCTAGAGTTATCATGCGCCTGGATTTCAAACTATCCTACAAAGCTGTAGGAATCAAAACAGTATGGTGCTTGCACAAAACACAGACACCGAGAACAATGGAACAGAATAGAGTGCCCAGAAATAAACCTACGCTTTTAAGGCCAATTAACCTATGACAAAGGAGGCGAAAATACACAGTGGGGAAAAGACAGTCTCTTCAATGTGTGCTGCTGGGAAAACTGGACAGTATCTCTTTCAATTCAGATACGTCCCAGAAAAACTTGAGGAGGCTTAAAAAAGTGTGGAGAAAAAATAATACAAAGGCTCAAACATAGTACAATATATGGACTGAAAGTGTAAAGTAAAGGACAAGGAAAGAAAAAATGACTGAGAAATCTAGACGGAGAGGAGCCCTGACTGTTGAGGGATTTTAACCTTGAGCTTCTTACCTGCCAGGGCAGAGCAGCAGACATTACATGTTATAGAGCTCTGGCGTGTAGACGGCGAAACCATCTTGGTATAGAAACTATCTTAGGAACAGCTTTGTTCATAACTTAGAAAACTATTTGTTTTTACCCTGAGCAATAGGTATATATTAAAAATAAATGTTTAGAAACAGAATAAATAATATTACCTTATATTTAAAAGCTTTTATAAATGGACTCACGTAATGTAAAAAAAAAAAATCTGGTGTGTACGAATTTGCCTGGATTATATACTCAGTACATTCTTGTTTTCAGTGTTTTACAGACCACATCCACTTGATGATGTGAAAATCTCCCACCTTTCTTTCATGCTGTTAAAGATTTCAAATGATATTAAATATTGTGATTTTTAAAAACCAACTCAAATTAACATAGTGTTCAGTATGCTTTTCTAACCTGTATGTGCTGGGTCCCCCTCTGCTCGCCCCCTCTTTTCAAAGTGCAGTTCTGGAAGAATGAAATGGGCAGTAATTTTACTAAGGTGTGTTTTTTCTTTCGTGTTATCAGGAATTACAGAAAGACATGCAAGGAAGTGCCCAGGCGTTGGCGGAAATAGTGAAAAACACAGAGAACTTCTTAAAAGAGAGCGGGGAAAGGCTGTCAGGAGAAGACAAGGCTCTGATTGAGCAGAAACTGAAAGAAGCAAAGATGAAGTGTGAACAGCTTAATTTGAAGGCAGAACAGTCGAAAAAAGAGCTGGAGAAAGTGGTGAAGACAGCGATCAAGGAAGAAACAGAAAAGGTCCTTATTCAGATATGTGATGCCCTGTTCTGGGGCTTTATTGAAAATGACAGGTGTTTAAAAAGAAAAAAATGATAGATGTAATAGCACCTCGATTTATGAAGGGTATTGTTAGTACCAGGGACTAGAATTCTGGGTTTTCATGGATGTAACTGACCAAACTACAGAGTTTGAAGAGTTGGCTTTGTTGAACTTAAAAAAAATGTTTTTCTTAAATTGAGGTAGGGTTGATGTACAGTATTACATGTTTCAGGTGTACAGCATAGTGATTCACAATTTTTAAAGGTTGTACTCTGTATGGCTGTTACAACATATTGGCCCTCCTCCCTGTGCTGTACAATACATCCTTGTAGCTTATTTATTTTGTACATAGTAGTTTGTAGGCGGGGTTGAACTTTTTAAAAAAGTTGACGTGGCATTGTGAGGCTTTCTCCGTGTGAAATGTATGTGGTCTCATCGATGGCAATGAAAAGTTTTGGAATGTGTTTTGAAGAATGATGAAAACTTAAAAGTGACTGTCAGTGGCTGAAAGGCTTAATTTCAGTGTGTTCAGTTTTCAGCATGTGTGTGTTCAGGTTCCCCACTTTAATGTTAAAAGATCTTAGTACTTGCATTGGGGATGTCTTGAAACGAAAGCCTTGGCCCACACTGAGGAGTCCCTGCTGTGAACTTTCCCTGCCCAGGTTGCAGCTGTGAAACAGCTGGAAGAGAACAGAAGCAGAATAGAGAACCTTTTGGACTGGTTGTCCAGTGTTGACAGAGACTCTGAAAGGGCAGGCATGGAACAGAAACAGGTGATGGAACAGAACGGGATGCATTTTCGAGAAGAGGATGGCACGTCAGCGATTGGAGAAGAGGATGAAGTTAATGGTAACCTGTTGGAGATGGAGGTTGACGGGCGAGTTGGAACCACCGAGGAGAATCTGAACCAGCAGTACCAGAAGATGAAGGTGCGTTGTTTGAAACAGATGACCTGAGTTAGAGTCTCTTCTCAGGTCTGTAAAGACAGGAAGGACTTAGCCCGTGAGTTACCGTTTCAGACCTCAGTGACCATTGAGGGGGAGGTCCTTTTTCTAGGTCTGTCATTATGTCGATGTAAGTTACTGTGAGAGTTCTAAGCAAGTCAATAACAATGGGAAATAAACTCATGGCTGTGGCGTTCTTCTATTTTTTAAATTTATTTTATTTTTTATTAATTTTTGAGTATTTAATTTTTTTATTGAAGTGTAGTTAATTTACATTGTTAGTTTCAGGTGTACAGCAAAGTGATTCAATGATACATATACATGCATATAAATTTTCTTTTCAGGTTCTTTTCCATTATAGGTTATTACAAGAAATTGAATATAGTTCCCTGTGCTAGACAGTAGGTCCTGGTTGCTTATCTGTTTTGTTTTATTTTATTTTTTATGGTGCAAACAGCCTTTATTGTTTGCAAAGAGAACTTAAAGTAGAGGGGATATGCCAGTTTCGGCTCCTGGAGGGGCTCATAGACTCAGTCGCGGCCCTAAGTTGTCTAATTTTGTATCTAGAAGTGCGAGTCCGTTAAGCCCCAACCCCTAATTTATCCCTCCCCTGCCCTGTCCCCTTTGGTAACCATAGTTTGTTTTCTATGCCCGTGAAAATAGAATTTGTATCTTTTTTAATTTTATTTTTTAATTCCACATAGAGGTGATACCACATGATCGTCTTTCTCGGTCTGACTTATGTGGTGTTCTACCTGAAGCACGGTTGTAAGGAATTCACAGAAATAATAGTAATAGCGAAGGTTTATGGAGCAGTCACAGGGGGCCAGGCATCTTCTGAGCTCCTCCCAGCTGGACTCACGCCGCCCTCCCCAGCGCTCTGTAGAGTGAGGCTGTCATTGTCCTGATGCGGAAATGGTGGTGGTGGTGATTATTATTATTATCATTTTACACCCGAGGAAACCATAACTTCCAGAAGTGAGGTATCTTGCTGGAGGGTGCACATCCAGTAAGGGATGGAGTTTGGATTTAAAACTGGGCTCAGTCGGCTTTGCAGACCTGCTCAGGGTGAGGGTCCCCGAGGCGGCAGGTTCCCCCGTCCCGCCCCTGCGCCCCGT